ATGTTTTAATCTTTACTTTTGTTAAGAATAGATAGAAATGTAAAAAAAAAAAAAAAAAAGAGAAAAAACCAAACAACAAAAAGGTAAAATAACTTTTTGTAACATACAGAAGTGAAAAGAACTCATCACCAGCAGACCTGCTCTATAAGTATTGTTAAAAGAAGTAGATGAATCAGAAGCAATGTGATGCCAGGTAGAAATCTGGATTTACACAAAGGAATAAAGAACACAGGTCATGGTAACTATTTGGTTAAATGTAATACATTTTCTTCATGTTATTATACCTCTTTAAAAGATAAAGTAAAAATGATAGCAATTTAATGTGAGGCTTATACATGTATAAATAGAATATGTGACAATGGGCGCACAAAGGCTGGGTGGTGATAAGTTAAAGATGTATATAGTATAATCTCAAGCAACCACTATAATAACAAAGAGCTACTGCCAATCAGCCAACAATGAGATAAAGTGAGATAAAGTGATAAAAAATATTCAGTTAATCCAAAAGAGGGCAAGGAAATAAAAGGGAGGGGGGAAGGATAGCTAGGACAAATAAAAAACAAATAGCAAGATAACAGACTTAAAAATAACCATAACAATAAACACATTAAATGTAAATGTTCTCCAAACTCCAGTTAAAAGTTGTATTTTGTCAGACTGGATAAAAAAGCAAGATACAATTATATATGTTGCCTATAAGACAACTGTAAGACATAAACAAGTTAAAAGTTAAAGGATGGAAAAACACATACCCTGTTAACACTAGTCAAAAGGTGTGAAACTTTAAAATAAAAACTAAAAAATAACACCACTAAGAGAAATTAAAGAAGATCTAAATAAATGGAAAGATATAATGGGTTCATAGTCATAATATTCATATTATTAAGATGCCAATTTTCCTCATTTCATCCACAGACTCAATGCAATCCCAATCAAAATCACAGAGAGCTTTTTTTTTTTTGTAAAAATGATTATAGAATTCATATGGAAATGAAAAGGACACAGAATAGCCAAAAAGCTTTGAACCTGAACAGAGTTGGAGGACCAGTGCCACCTAATTTCAAGACATTATAAAGCTACAGTAATCAAGATGGTGTGGTACTGTCATAAAGAAAGACAAAGAGATAATTGGAACAGACAGAGAGTCCAGAAACAGACTCACACAGATTTTTAAACTGATTTTCAACAAGGGTCTTTTTTCAACAAATGGTATTAGAACAATTTGGTTTTAATATGCAAATAAATGAAGTTCAACCTATATCTTACACACTTTACAAACGTTAAAAATGGATCACAGGGCTTCCCTGGTGGCACAGTGGCTGAGAGTCTGCCTGCCGATGCAGGGGACACGGGTTCGTGCCCCAGTCCGGGAAGATCCCACATGCCACGGAGCGGCTGGGCCCGTGAGCCATGGCCACTGAGCCTGCGCGTCCGGAGCCTGTGCTCCGCAACGGGAGAGGTCACAACAGTGAGAGGCCCGCATACCGCAAAAAAAAAAAAAAAAGGAAAACACATATAAAAACACTGTGACCCTGAGTTAGGTAAAGATATTTTAGATACAACACCCAAAACACAGTCCAAAAAAGAATGAACTGAAAAAATGGACAAGATAAAAACTTCTGCTCTTCAAAAAACACTGTTAAAGAAATGGGAAGACAGGCCATGGAGGGGGAGAAAATATTTGCAAATCATATAGCTGATAAGAGACTTGTATCTAGAATATACAAATAATTCTCAAAACTCAATAATAAGAAAACAATCTGATATAATGAGCAAAAAATTTGAACACTTCTCCCAATAAGAAACAACAAAGGGCAAAGAAGCACATGAAAAGATGTTCAACAATTATGAATCATTAGGGAAATGCAAATTAAAACTACAATGAGATACCACTACACACCCATTAGAATGGCTGAACTTAAAAAGACTGACCATATCAAGTCTTTGCAAGGATGTAGAGGAACTAGAACTTTCATAGGCTGTTGGTGGAAAGAGTAAATAATACGAACATTTGGAAAACAGTTTGGCAGTTTCTTAAAACATTAGATACCTACTATATGATCCAGCTATTTCACTCCCAGGTATTTACCCCAGAGAAACAGAAGCATATGTTTATATAAAGACCTGTACATGGATGTTCATATCAGCTTCATTTATAATAGATAAAAACTGGAAATAACCCAAAATATCTACCAACAGGTGAATGGATGAACAGTTGTTGTAAATTCAAACAATGGAATGTTACTCAGCAATGAAAAGGAATGAACTATGGACAAATCTTGAAATAATTATGCAGAATGAAAGAAGACTTAAAAAAAGTAGTGTGTGCATGTGTGTGTGTGTGTGTATATGTATGTACATAACGTATATATTGATTCCATTTATATAAAAGTCTAAGAAATGCAAACTAATCTACAGTGACAGAATGCAAATCAGTGGTTGCTTGGGGACAAAGTTGTGGGTAGAGAGGGCTGGGAGAGAGAGATTCCTAAGGGGCTCTTTGGCGGTGACGCATGTGTTCATTATCTTCATTTTGGTGATGGTTTCATGGTTATACGTGTCGAAAGTTATATTGTACAGCTTAAATTTGTGCAATTTAGTTTATATCAATTATGACTCAATAAAGCTGCTATAAAAGGAGTATTTGTTTTCATTTTGAATATTTTTTAGCACTTTGATTTTGGCAATTCATTTATGTATAATCTCAGACATATTTTGAATAGCATATAAATTATTGTTAATTCTAATATCAGTCATTTGAGTTTCATCTCCATATTATTCTCAAAAACTCCAAGCTAGTTTAAATATATAATCTGCTCAAAAAAATAGATTCTGAAAAACTTTCCTTCTCTGTTTTTTTCACCATCTATCATGAATAGTCTATTGGTATAGAAGCAATCTAATAGTACTATCTTTCAGCTAATTAGTTTATGTCATTGTTTTCCAATTTAAGCAAGCAATTTTTGTGAGGCAGACAAAAGTAAAATCCATGGAATATTTCAAATTATAACGCTTTTTTTTTCAATCTCAAGGGAAAAATTATATGCTACAGTCAGCACAGACCTTGTAATTTAGGGTACTGATTCTCCATATGTCTTAGACAAAAAAATTTCAAACATACACAAAAGTACAGAACTGAATAATGAATCTATATGTACCTGTCACCAAGCTTCAATCATTATCAACATTTTGAGATTCTTGTTTGATCTATTGAGCTCCCCTCACCTTTTTATGGAACATTTTAAAGCAAATTCCAGGTATCATACCATTTCATATCACAGATATTTCAATATTTACATCTTTTTCTAATATGACAACAGCTTTCTAAAAAATTGCCTCACACAAAGTTAATTATATTTCATTACCAGAACACTTAATTTAATTTCTTATGCTTCTCCCCTACAATTTGTATAGGGGTGTGTCCCATTTAGAAATTCTTGTTTCATTAACTGAAGTGCTCAGGAAGATGGTTTTTAAGAAAAGCAATATGAATACATATGTATAAGTTTATAGGAATGTTAATATTTTTAAGAGAAATATTTTTGATAGGTTATTCTGAAATTAAAACAAACAGGAGGGATCTAGAATATATTAACAAACAGAGGTTCATTTGTTTCTTTAGTAATTCACTTATTTATATATCCTTCCATGGTTCCACCCAGCTCCAAGCCAGTAGTGGAGCTGGCTTGTAGCAGTTTGTGAGAGATGGCTGGTAAAGTTTTTGGAATTTTGTGAGCTGGTTGTTAAACATCACTATTATTAAAAATTATTTAGATTTTTAATAAAACAAATTTTATTAAAAAACCCCAAATACTCAAAAACTCAACAATTTTAATTTTACTATTATCTATGCTCTTCAGTTTACATGTCTATTGTACAATATCTGTGTGGTGGAAACATCATGTTTGCTACTGAGCATCTTTTCTCTACTCCGTGTTTAGTAATGTTATGTTGGAGGCCTGAAGTTAGTCATGGTGGGAATATTTATGCCACAGATATAAGCAAATGCTACAAATTAGAACCATCCCTCACACCCCTGCCTGGACAGCCTGTTGTTAACAGTGGCCAGCACCACACTGCTTCCACCTTGAGCATTAACTCTGAGTCAGGTACTGGAGTCACATGATATATTTCTTGTCTTTTGAAATTTGAGCATAACGATCCTTCTAATGTTACAGTATTAAAAGCACATTAAATAGAAGGCACCAAATAGACAAATGTGAATAGGTCTGTAGGAAAACAAATGCAGAATACATGGTATGTATTAATAATTTTTAATATATGCCTTTAAAGTTCCTTTATTATAAGATCCAAAATATTAACATAGAGAAACTTGTTATGCTGAAGCTCAGGAAATAAAGAACCCTAGGGAGGTAGCATCTTTGGTTTGAATTGTTTCATTACTTGAATTTTAGAAGCATATAAAGTGTAATTAGATAGTGATTAAATAAGAAGATTGGAAATACTATATAAAATGTATATATATTCTTTAAATGATACAACAGAATGCTAAGAAAAATAATTATGAATCTGATTTTTAAAGAATAAGTATAATTTGGGAACTATCATATACCAAAGACTGTGAGAGCTTAAGTGTATACCAAGTCAAGTGTGTTTAATAGATAAGTGATTTTTTATCAAAGAAGGCAAAAAGAAATCTAGTTTAAAAATGAGGTTTTAGTTAAAAACTTAAAATGCTACCAAAATTTGCCAAACTTGTTTTGCCAGTTGATATTTGCAGAAATCAAAGCTTTGTCTGTCTAGTCTGCATTTATATTTAGTCTGGGCATTTAATCTCTCTTTTGATCTTAGGTTTTGCCATACACTTTAAGTTGTTTTATAAGGCTTTACCATTAAGTTAGTTTCATAGCTTGTAAAATCATCTTATACTAGCGAACAGCTTATTTTAAAACTGCTCAGAAAATACATAAAGGAGTAACAAGGAATTAAAATGAACACTGTGGTTCTTTATATGTGTTTCTTTTATTTAGGTTATTTACCTCTTGTGAAAGCTGTGTTACTTGGTTCTTTTGATGTTCCAGGTCTTTTAGAACCATCGAGTTTCGTTTTTCTAACTGAAGCACTCTTCGTGCCAAATGGACACTAGGAGAATGGAATAAGAAAATTAATGCTTACAAAAGAGGAATACTATCTCAAATACTCAAAATGTGTTTGTGTGCTTGAAAACTAACCATTTCCTAATAATACTTAAATATTAAACAGGAAAAATATGGAGTCGAATAATATTTTCAGGTGTCAACAGTGGAAGACCAATATCCCAACAACTCAAAATTTGAAAGTAACATTAAAAATCTGCATAATAATGTAACTGTGATATATTGATTATCACAGTAATAGTTTCTAGCCCTTGCTATAAAAGTGGAAAGTTACATTATGATACTTGCTTGAAAAGACCGCAAGAAAGCAATTCACAGCTTTTCTTCATTTTTATAAAAATTTACCATTTACAAACAAATAAGGCAATTAGTTGAAACAGTAATAACCTTGTACTTTGAAAAGCATCAGTGTTTTCCTCAGACAACATAATGCATTTTATAATACAAAACACAACTGAATAGATTTTCTATTGAAAAAAGAGATGGAAAAGATGTCTGAAAAGTGGAGACAGATGTCTAACAGTAAAGGCAACAATTCTGTATTAAAAGAAACCACTAAAAGATCACACTGTGATCATCACAAGATGATCACAACTTATTGTACTGAGTGTAATCTTTAGTATTTTAAATCACATTAAATGTAAAATCCCAATTCTATTTAAGACATAATTAAGAAAAAAAGGTTTAGCTATAAGAATCATAAAATCATCCCTACTAAACACTGCGGCATAATTCTTTAAAAAATCTGCTAATAATGCTGAGAACAGATGTTGCTCCAAAGCCCCTCTCTGTAATTCCAGAAACTTAAAAATTTAATATTTATCACATTTTCATATTCTATGTGACTTAACCCATTAATCTCTGAATTGCAAAATCTGTAGAAACTGAGATCACCCTATACATCTATTTCTAAGAACTCGTTATTCCAAATGAAAAAGATGAGTTCTTTTGTTATACAGTGAATTGGGTAGCTTATTTAGATATGCTCATATCTAAATTCCTATCTTTTCAACTGGCATAAGATTTTGCCTTAATAATCAGTTGGAGTCAGAGATGGAAAAGACACAGTCCCGTTTTCTGTCAGTCACTTTTTTTTTTTTTTTTTTTTTTTGCGGTACGCGGGCCTCTCACTGTTGTGGCTTCTCCCGCCGCTGGCGCACAGGCTCCGGAAGGGCAGGCTCAGCGGCCATGGCTCACGGGCCCAGCCGCTCGCAGCATGTGGGATCTTCCCGGACCGGGGCACGAACCCCCGTCTCCTGCATCGGCAGGCGGACTCTCAACCACTGTGCCACCAGGGAAGCCCCTGACAGTCATTTTTTACAAAAAACAGCTTTATTGATATAAAATTTTCTTGATATGTAACTTATAATACCATAAATCCTGCCCATTTAAACTGTACAATGGTTTTTAGTATATTTAGAGTTGTGCAACTATTACTATAATTTAGTTTTAGAATATTTTCATTACACCCACCCCCCCAAAATTTGTACCCCTTAGCATAACTCCCCATCCTCCCAGTTCAGCCCTAGGGAACCACTAATCTACTTTCTTCCTTTATTGATTTTTAAGATGTTTGCAGTTTAAAGAACACTTATAACTCAACAATTACAAGACAGTCCAATTAGAGAATTTACAACAGTGCCTTATCTATAGAAAGTTCTGAGTAATTGCATACACACATTTTTGCACTTCTCATATGGTGATTTCCTTAGGAAGTGCAATGATTGGGTCCAAGCACATGTGCATTATGAATTTTCAGATATTCCTCTTGAGAGGCTGTACAAATTTAAATTCCTATGAACTAGAATGAAAGTTCTCCAATGACAGAAATTTTTTAGAAATTCGTTTTCTAACGTATTCTAAGTGCCTTGGAGAATACCTGGTACAATAATAATCTGTTCAGTAATAAACTGTTCAGTGAATGAACTTTATACAAGACCTCCTGTTTCTTTATGCCCTAGCCAACACTGGGCAATATCAATCTTTAAAAGTTTTGCTAACTTTACATATAAACAATAGAATCTTATTTTAAATTAAATTTGTGAGGTTAAACATCTCTACATTTGTCAGACATTTGTATTTCTTATTTAATAAATTGATGTTTATGTCCTTTTACCATTCACTTCAAATCTTACCTACGTGGTTAACTCTATTCTACATCTAAATTACCTAAAAGTATCACGGCCTCCCCAAATCTCAACAGAACCAACCTATTTTCCATTAATGTCTACTCTGCCTAATGTCCCATAAACATGTTTTGTATATTCCTTCCACTGTACCTCTGTTGGTCCTCCAGTCTGGAGAAGATAGGTTATTCCACTGATTGGGAGCCCAGCTTTTTCTGGAAGGCTCTCTCCGAGGTCCACTTCCTCCATTTCTGACCAGGCCAGCCTTCACTGATCTCTATTCCTCTGACTGACATAGGCTGGCACACAATACAGTGCTAAATTATATGGTTTTAGATATTTCTTGATAGTCTTTCAGGTGTTCATCTTTTCTCCCCCAACAGATACAATTTAAATGAAGACTTACCCTCTGTGGTGTGTGCTGAACAGAGGGGGCACTTACTAAATCCTTCCTGACTGATTTTAAGTAAATTTTGCTCAAATGCTAGAATTTTGCTCAAATTGCTACAAACCATATTCCAAGGTTGCAGAGTCTCAATATTAAAGTACAACTAATGCTCAGCATCTAAGCATTGAACTAGTAATAAAAAAGAGCATAAAGTTTATAAGGGAAGAAGGCAAATGTCACAGATACCAATTCACCGCTTCCATATTTCAACCTCCTAAACTTTTAAATGTGGCACATTGATGTGCTGAGTGATTTGGTGCTATAGGTGGATTCTGTTTAGAAATCTGGGATATTAGAAGTCAGAAGACAGGAGGGGAGTTTAGTTTAACTGAAATTCAAAGCAAGACAAAAGAAGAATTGCTCAACTAGCTGAGTTTATGTCTCCTTAACGACAATGTACATACTATGAAAACAAATCTTTAATGAGTTTTTTTTATAATGAGTAACCATGGATACAGTTAGGGGAAATGACTCCTGCTAAAGTTTGTTTGTTTGTTTGGTTATTTATTTATTTATTTAGTACTGAACTCCTCAAGAAAGCACTGCTTTTACAGGCTCTCTGTTGGGACACGTAGGTACAGCATAAAATTCTTCTTTGTAATTATATAACTGCCATGTGATTTTTACCTGCACCAACATTAAGTTTTACATCAACTAGAAACCAATACCACAAGAGTATAGTTTTGTATTTGAATTTTAAACTAAAACTTCACCTCTTATCTGGTAAAATTACTTCCCCAAGGGTTACCTCTTAGCTCTCTCAGCACCTCTTGACTCAAAATAAAAGTTATCCTCTTGGATTTGTCAATGGCAGTCAGTACTTCTGATTATCACATACAGTTTCATAGTAGCCTAGCCCAGGCAGTGTGAACATGGCCGACCTCCATTTATATCTGAGATATCAAAGCACAGTGGAGGACTGATGCTCTGTCCTGAGTCCTTCAATATTGGATGGTTCTCTTAGTATTACCAAAACTCCAAATAAGTAAGTGTAGGTACTTAGTTACCTGCTAATTAGTTACTTGGTCTGAAATAACATTTGGTTTTTTGCTCTTTTTCAGTTTTAACAGGTCAGAGTCCTGTCTCAATTAGCATGGCATGGAAAAATGGTTCAAAAAAAGGGCACATGGGCCAGAACGATTTCAGCTTCAGAAAGCATAAGGTTGCTCCCTGCACTGACTGCTTTCTTGGCAGTTACTGAGGACTAAATAGTGGTGCATTATGATTACCTATAGTTATATGAGTGTTTTTCTAGTTTTTCTGTAGGTTTAAACTTTCAACTTGATCATGAGTAGATTAGCAATAACTTTTTAAAGGTTTCTAAAACCAACCCAAATGAAATAAGCAAAACTTTCTCTAAGGAGGAAAATGAGAACTCACACATGTGAGAATAAAGGAGATGTTTTTTCCTTTATTATAAAGATTAGTCTACTGTGAAAGTTTCAACTTAAAGCTCTTTATAAAACTAGACAGAAACTAAAACAAAGATCAATAGTATGCAGTAAATCTTGCAATTTGAAAGGTTTAAAAACCTTCAGAAAAGTCTCCACATTCAGATATGCCAAAACAAACAGAGAAGCACACACTAAGGCCACGTTAGTGCCTGGGTGTTACCCATTTAGTGTTACAGGTTAAAGAGCATAACCAAAACATGCAACTAGAAAATCTTGTTTGCTATTTTCAAAACAATCACTACCAAAACAAAAGCATTACTTCAGATTTTCAAGTTTAGTCAAGAAGAGCCTTTTTTATTTTAAGCAACTTTAATTGTATATGCCCTTTTAACCTTCCACAACTTTGTCCCAGAAAGCTTAACGCAATAGTTACTGTTCATATCTCTACTGAAAATTCAAAATGTGAGTAACCTTCTTTAACAATTATAATGTGTTTAAGATACACTTTTGGAAGTTATTTTTCAAACTAATTTTGAAAAATTAGTTTTGCTACTTCTTTATTGGAAACTGGCATTATGGTCTATGTCTTAAGAAACTGATTAATATCAAAGAAAGTGAATCTCAAAACTAGTTTCATGTCCAGGAGTTGTTTCCACTAATTATTTCAAGAGGTCTCATTAAAATTTTAAAACAAAATTGTTTTAAACGAAAACTCACCTTGTGCCTCATTAAAGTTTCTGGAACATTGGCTTTACCTCGAAAATCAACTGTGTGATCTATTTATGTTAAGAAACATTAATTGACATAACAAACTTTTATTGGACACCTACTCTACACCAGGCACTCACTGTGTGGTGAACTTCTTCACATCCATTTTCTCATTTTAATTTCATAATATACATTGGGTGGCAATAGGTAACTAGTGAAAATTTTCAGTGGCTATCCAATTTACTAACAGCAATATGGCACTCAAAAACAGAAGGCCTAAAAATTGAAGTTGTGAATAACCATTAAAAATTACCTTTTTGAAGAATATTCAATGATATAAGAAAATGTTCAGGGTGAAATTATAAGATAAAAAATTAAATTTCTAAGTTACATACAATAATACCCTAAATACATAAGAAAATATATGTATCTGTATACATTTTTGAATGGCTATCTTTGGACAGTAGGATTACTGGTAATTTTCCTAATATTCTAAAATAAACATATATTATTTTTATAATCAGAAATCCCCTCCAATTAAGTGTTACCCTAAAATATTTAATTCTGGTTGTTGAATATATGAAATTTTAAATCAAATTTAGTATGAATGGGATATATTGTGTAGCATATGAGAAATAAGTTCCTTTGAAATTTTAATATATTTTGAAATGTGCTGATGTATAATGAAAACTTTATTATGCAAATATTTCATTTGCCATTATGACTGAGTTATTTTATAATTCACCTTAAGCTTCCATTGCTTTAATTTCAAATGTGACAAATTAAATATAGATTCTCTTGAAGGTTATATTGCTTTCATCTTAAATAAATTAAACTTAGAGCACAAAGCCATTGACTTCTTTACAAATATCCATTAAGAAATCAAATATGGACTTTGCAAACTTCAGAAATGCATCAGACCCTAAACAGGGATCTTCTTTGCCATTGGTTGATTTTGTGCATACAGTAGGCACTCAATAAAAGTTGTTGAATGAATGTGCAAAGGAATGCATAAATGTCCTCTTTGGCTATCTAGACTTACTTTCCCTTCACTCAGTTTAGATGACCTCAGAAGCACTTCCTCAAAATAACCCTCTGGTTCATCATGAGAAGAATGCCTGGCACCAGCTGGTAGGAGATATTAATAGCATGCCCATTAGGCACTTGTTCAAGGCACATAGATAGCTCAGTGATAAAATCTTTAGAAATATTTGGACAGTTAAGATTATTCAGAATATAAATCAGTTGTGGTTCCTTAAATCTTCAATCTCAATATTAAGAAATCAACATCTGTTTTGGAAATTCTTAAAAAAATAGTAAGATAATAGTAATAATTGCTTTCAATTTTAGAAGAACTCAGCATTTGGGGGCTAAAGAAAGAAAGCTTACAACAGAAAAATTCTTTTTTCTTCTTGTGACCAAGATTCTTTTGAAGGAATCAGATGATAAAATAGAGAAGAGAATGGACTTCCTCCTTCAAATTTCCATTTTTAGCATTTTACCAATCATTTGCCACTGATAAAAAAGTCGCTTGCCCACAAAACTACATTTCTATTCCTCCCTTGGCAACATAATGCTCAAAAACAGAGATATGCTGAAAATCACAAATTATCCTAGGTCACCCTCAGGAGGGACTCAGGGGAGAATGGGAATGGAATGGGACTATAACCGATTTTTTCAAGTAATACATAATTTAGAAATACTTGCATCTTCACTAGACAGAATTAACCATTCCAACTACAATTTGATATCTGGTAGTCTTCTACCCTTGATCTGTTCAGTGTAACCAGTAAGAAACTTAAATTCTAAGCATCCTGTTGTTACTTCTCATAAAATGGTCTATATCTTACATCACTTTAGATAGCTGTAAAGAGCCGTTACCCTCTGAGCCAAAGTTTCTACAAAAGTATTAGAATTAAGATGAATTGTTTTTCTTACTTAGTGTGTAATGTCTCTAAACGTTTAAATCTATTCATGTAAAAATAACAGATAGCAGCTCTGAATCCTCAAATACTCAGATGAAGAGACAATTCTACTAGGTATCTTACACCATGCTAGGTAGGGACAATGGAGAATAAACAAGAATAAGATGTAGTTGTTGACCCTGAGGAACTTTCCATCTAGCTGGGGAAACAATATGGAAAATGAGAGCTAGTGAGATAAGACAAATGCTCTGTTGTATGGTATGTGGAAAATAGACATTATAGGCAGAGAGATATACTACCCTCATCTGGGGTAGAGAGGTAAATAAGGCTGGAGAGGTAGGGCCACATGGAAGGGCTTAGAAGTCTGATAGAAACATTTAGATTTGTTATGGTAGCAAGCAGGGCTCTTTCTGCAAAGCAGGATGAATTCAGGTGGGAGAAAGGAGTTAGGAGTTAGGTCACTAGAAAACCAATTAACATAGGTACAATTTTCTCTTAGTATACTTTAAATAGTATCTCAACAAATAACTAGTGGATCTTCTAAAAATTTTCTTGGTCTTCACAAAGTGTTTTATACTTTCAATCACAGTATATATGCTAGCTCTATCTCTCTCTCCCAATCTCTTTCTTTTTCTCTCTCTCAAGTGTACATCAAGGAATGTAGACAGGTGAATAAAAAACAAGTGAAAAAAAAAGGAAGCATAATTCATTAATTTTAACCTGAAAATTGTTGGTACAAAAAAGCATTTGTAACTCACCTGAAATTAAGATGAAAATAAATTTAAAATGGTGTCATTATCACTGAATCCAATTCTAGGAAAATTCTAATGTACACTTACATTCTACCCAACATTAAACTCACTTAAAAATACATGAAATGCATGATTATTACTTACTGTGTTTGTGAGCAATTTAATATTTATGCATACTAAGAATAAAGTAACTTTATTTTGTCACTCCACTCAGTACATCATCAAAAAGCACAATGTAATTACATTTAGCTTGAATGGATAAGTGAAATGAATATATATTGATTTTACCTTTGCTTTAGTCGTCTTTTGGCTGTTGTGGGAACATTAGCACCATAGCCATAAGAAAAAAGAATCCTTTCAGCCTCATCTTCATTTTCAACTGGAAAATATTGAAGTGTACAATGTGAAATATTTTTTTTCTTAAAAAGTATGGCAGAAGTGAAAATAAAAGAGGTCATAATAATGAATTAAGGAGCATAAGAACATTTAAAAGGGCTAATGCATAACCTCAAGCAGACCATTTGTAAGCAGCAGCACAGTTATTTCGTAAAGTATATGCTTGCTTGGATTTGTTCCATCTATTTTTAAAAGGTTTAGTAAGGGACTGCATCATATGACACGTTAAGTTTTCTTGTTATAAAGCATAATAATACAGATGTTATTTACTCTGAGGTTCAAAGGCTTTCTGCATGAAATGTATGTTATGTACTTCTGAAAAAGTAATGATAAACTCAATTTCATTACTTCTTTTCTTGATAAGAGAAATGATTATTTTTAATTAGGAAAGATGTTCATTATTTTATCAGAAGAACAACTTTATCCTAACTTGCAATAATGAAATTATGCATTTAAGTAGGCTACTCTGTGAGGAAAATGTACAGTCCTGAGAATCTATTGATGGCATTTTAAAAAAAATTACAGAAAACACAGTAACACCATTTACTTCTAAATTTTGCTATTGTTACACCACTCCCCCAAAGGAATTTTAACTAAAAGGTTAATGTTTTATGGCTAAAACATTTAAATGCGATGACAATTTACTGTAAGTTGAGATGAAAAAATATTTAATCAAAGGCTATAAAAGCTAAAGGTTTTTTAAACCTTTAAAAAGGTTTAAAATTTAAATTTAAAGCAGTTCATGACATATAACAATTTTTATAACATTATTCATCAATAACCAGTATTTTAATGTCAAAAAGAGAAAGCTACTTTCAGAAATCTTTCAGGTTTAAAATAAAGCCAAATATTTTACATTAGTAAGTGAAGCTATTTGCAGGCCTATCACTGTAATATGCACTTATTTGTTGTTTGATCCTTCTGTAGTAAACATTTCAGGAATATTCATAAGTGTTTTTTTCTTCAATTTTGACCCTATTCACAGTGAACCAATATCAGTTTTCAGAGGTAGGATTAGTAGTTATGAGGGACAAGTGTAAGCAAGAGATCCTATGTGCCATTGCTGATAGTAACATCTCATTGCTCAGATCCAAGTTGGCTTCTCCAATCCAGCTCTATCAGAACTAGAGCAGGCATTTAGATACTATCTAACGCTTGTTTCTCTTAAATAGTTCTAAGGTCAGAAGAAAGAGGGGTTAATTTAGCTAACATCTCAAAAACCCATCAGATATTGATGGACAACTTACATTTGAGTTTAATACTTACTGGATTATAACTCATGGGCTAACTATTCCAGTGGTGATTTAATTACAGAAACAATGTCCTACACAAAATGGCAAATGGTACTAAAGAGATATGAATGTGTCTTAGTACCACTATTTTTCCCATGCTAGAGGCATTAGGAAGGTATGGGGAGAATGACATTCACAGAGAACGTGCAGGAAGGAACTGCAATGTGTAAAGGCACAGAGCTGTGAAGTTTCAGTAATTGTGAGAAAAGTGGCTGAAGTTAGTCTGGAAAACAATAGTAGTAGAAAGGGAGGCCAAGTTCCAACTGTGAATGGGACTAAAGTCTTGTTTGCTAGGCTAAAGAGTCTGGATTTTATTCTAGAGACAACAAGAAATTAAGAGATTAGAACAGGTAAGTGACATGACCAATAGATTTTTGTTGTTGATGCTGATATTATAGGAAAAAAAATTCCAATAATGGGAAAAGGGTGACCTAGATTGGTAGCACAGAGAACTCCTTACAGGTTATAGTAATAATCCAGTTGTGACTTGGTCCATAATAGCAATGGGGGATGGAGAAACGAACCTGGATTCTAGACAAATGAGTAGGTATGGAGGTGAGATGAGGCACTAGATAGGATGAGGGAGGAATCAAGGTTGACAAAAGCTAGTTGGGTAATTAGAAAGACTTTAACCTTACTAACAGATCGAGAATACAAGAAAATTAATACGTCTTAGGGAAGGAAGGGAAAATATAAATAATGTTACATCTTCAATGACTGCAAGAATTCCATACAGACCTGTGGAATCACTAGCCTGTGGTCAGTAACTGAAATTGTGGAAAGGGATAAAATTATCCAGAAAGTAGGTAAGTAAGAATTGAAGAGGATGAGGGGGAAAAAAAAACCCCTGGGAACCAGAAAGAGTTAGATAAAAGAAGAGACAACAAAAGCGACGGAGAAGAAACAATCAAAGGCAGGTGACTTAAGCAAGAGAAGAGTTTTGAGAAATGTGACAAATGCCCAGCAGAGGTTACAAGTAGGATGAGGTTGGAGAGTAGGTCCCTCAATTTGACAATTAGAAATCTGATATTTAAAAAAAATTTATTTAGCTTCTAGACAATACCTGTACTTTTAACAATCTGATGACGATCTTTGAAAACGAAACTCCTCAAATATACAAATATTAAACTTATTTGATTACAAAAAGCAATTCAAGTGTAAACAGGATACTGTAATTTGCCATGGTTACACCTTAACAAATGAAGTCTAACCATCTTCATCTCAGCTGAATTAGATGATAATCGTTTGAATATTGTACACACTATAGTACTAAAAAAGAATGTTCTGCACTTACATCTTACAAATTTTGTTTAATCAGTAAGTATTCGTTAAACAAGGATAGGAATATTCTAATTTCCAATGTCAACAGATAGAAAAGAACCTAGTTTACTAATCTTCCAAGTACAAGCAAATGTATTTTATTCTAAGATACTTTTAAGATGGTTTATAAAATATCATAGCAAAAAATTAATTTATGTATCTTTTCTAAAGACTTTGTTTAGAAAATATTTACACTCATGGAAAAGCTGAAAGAAGTGTACACTCATATATCCAACATCTGGATTCAAAATTAAACATCGTACTATATTTATTTCTCACACATTTATCTATCACTGTATCCATTCATGAATCCATCTTATTTTTTTGATGCATTTCAAAATAAGTTGCAGACCTGTGCCTTCACCTCCAAACAGTTCAACATGTAAATCATCAACTATAGTTGAATATTACTTATAGTTCTTTTCTAAAAATAAAATTTACATATGGTGAAAGGTACAAATCTTAAGTCTATCATTCAATGAATTTTGAGAAATATAAATAGTTGACCCTTGAACAACAGGGTTTGAACTGCTTGGGTCCACTCAAACATGAATTTTTTTTTTTTTTTGGCGGTACGCAGGCCTCTCGCTGTTGTGGCCTCTTGCATTACGGAGCACAGGCTCCGGACACGCAGGCTCAGCGGCCATGGCTCACGGGCCTAGCGGCTCCATGGCATGTGGGATCTTCCCGGACCGGGGCACGAACCTGTGGCCCCTGCATCGGCAGGGGGACTCTCAACCACTGCGCCACCAGGGAAGCCCAAGCACCATTTATTGAACAAACTTTCCTTTCTCTAGCTGAATGCTATGCTTCCTTTATTAAAAATCAAATAATCAGACAAGTGTGGGTCTCTTTCTTAGTTCTCTATTCCATTTTGTTGTTGTATTTGTCTTTCTTTATGTCAGTAGTATACTAGCTTGATGCTGTAGCTTTATATTAAGTCTTGAAGTGTAACTCTTCCAATCTTGTTCTTTTTTTTTCAAATTACTTTGGTTATTCTAGTATGCATATGTTTTCTTTGCCTTTAGGCAAATAACTAGGAATGAAATTGCTGGATCACTGGATAGGCTGTTTGGTTTTATAACAAAGTGTCAGTTCTTCCACAGTCTCACCAACGTCTGGTATAACCAGTCTTGCTAATTTCAGCCATTCTGGTAGGTGTGCCCTGGTATTATTAAAAGTAGACCTTTTAATAAGTCCTTTGAATTTCCACATAAATGGAATACAAAAATGTTAAAAAGAAAAAGGAATTATGATTAGGACGATATTGAATTTATAGAATTCATGATATATCTATTGACGTTTTAGCAAGTCTTCTTTAATTTTTCTTAGCAATGGTTTGTATTTCATGTTGTTCAATCTATTCCTACATATTTTATGTTTTTTGATACTATTGTAAATGAAATTGCTTTTAAAATTTCTTTTTCCAATTGTTTGCTTCTAGTGTGTCTGTGTATATATATATATATATATATTTTTTTTTTTTTTTTAATTTTATTTATTTTTGGCTGCATTGGGTCTTTGTAGCTGAGCAGGGGCTTTCTCTAGTTGCAGCAAGCGGGGGCTACTCTTTGTTGCGGTGCGCAGGCTTCTCATTGCGGTGGCTTCTCTTGTTGAGGAGCATGGGCTCCATGTGCGTGGGCTTCAGTAGTTGTAGCATGTGGGCTCAGTAGTTGGGGCACGCAGGCCCTAAAGCATGTGGGCTTCAGTAGTTGTGGTGCATGGGCTCAGTAGTTTCAGTGTGTGGCCTCTAGGGCGTGCAGGCTTCAGTAGTTGTGGTGCACGGGCTCAGTAGTCATGGCTCGCGGGCTCTAGAGCGCAGGCTCAGTGGTTGTGGCTCACAGGCTTAGTTGCTCTGCAGCATGCGGGATCTCAGTTCCCCGACCAGGGATCGAACCCATGTCCCCTGCACTGGCAGGTGGATTCTTAACCACGGCACCACCAGGGAAGTCTGAGCTTCTAGTATATTTCTGTGTAATTATTATAGCCTGTTAAATTTACTTATCAGTGTTAGTGATTGCTTTGTAATCTGAAAATACAGTCTTCCTATGCCTTTCCGATCTTTATACTTATTTTTCCTTTCTTGCCTTAGCTCATGGGCTAGGAGTTCAAATACAATGTTTAATGTAAGTTATGAAAATAGAAATCCTTGCCTGGTTCTCTCCTTTAAAGGGAAAGCATTTGATATTTCATCATTAGGTATAATATTAGCTGTACATTTTTTCTAGATATCTTTTATCAGATTGAGGAAGTTCTCTTCTACTCCTAATTTGTTTAGACAGAGGGATATCTGCAAAACTATAGAGATACAGAAGTATGGAACTTTCAAAATAATGCAATATGATAGGGAATGGCAAGGCATAAAAAAGTACAAAGATAAATAAGTCTAATCATAAAAAGACATGCTAAGGAATTTGACTTTAGGCTGTTTAAAGTTGATAGGGGAATTAAAGCAGGTGCATGGTATGATCAAATCTGTATTTTATAAAGATTACTCAGACTCCATGAAGAAACTGAAGATAAATTTGGAAACTATTGTAATTATCAGACACTGGCCTTGGAAATTAAAAAAAAAAAGGCAATGATAGGAATAAAACAAAAGTTTTTCTTAAACTGGGCTATCAACACAATACAGTCTTTACGAGAAAAGGTGCCCCATATAAAGTCAACCTCAACTTCAATTGAAGTTTTTAAACCCATTTTTATAAGAATGCCACTATTATTTCTGACTTCTGAACAGAAATAATGTACTGTAGCAAACATCACAGTCAATGGTGAAATGTTAATTTAGAATATTCCCTTGGAGTCAGGGACAACACTGGAAGACAGACAATAAGAGGAAAAAAAAGCAGTAGAAATTAAAGTCAAAGTCTATAACACAGTGTATGCAATGAATTTCTATCTGTCCTTCAATTTCTATCTGTCCCTCAATTTCTATCTGTCCCTCATTCAAATGTCATCTCCCCTCTCAGGGATTCCTCACCTCCAACATGGAATTAACTCAAGATCTCTTCTGTACTTACACCAAGAACTGCCTCTCTCTTGCTAATAGCACTTTAATTATCTGTTAATATGTTTGTCTCTCCCAGCAGACTAGACTAGGAATACCTATAAGCAAGAATTATTGCATGAACTCCATATCCCCAGATCCTGGCATATGTATTCACTTAATAATTGTTTAATGAATGAGCTAAATAAATGAAAAGATAAAACCTTGGCATATGTAATCACTTTATTGCTAAATGAGTGAGGTAAATAAGTGAAAAGATAAAATCGATCATAGTTATATTTTTTTTGATCTCAACTACTAGAATTAAAGTTAACTAATTTTTAAAAATTAATTAATTAATTAGGCTTTTTTGGGTCTTCGTTGCTGTGCACAGGCTTTCTCTAGTTGCGGTGAGTGAGGCTATTATTTGTTACGGTGTGCAGGCTTCTCATTGCAGTGGCTTCTCTTGTTGTGGAACATGGGCTCTAGGAGCATGGGCTTCAGTAGTTGTGGCTCGCGGGCTCTAGAGTGCAGGCTCAGTAGTTGTGGTGCATAGACTTAGCTGCTCTGTGGCATGTGGGATCTTCCCGGACCAGGGCTTGAACCTGTGTCCCCTGCACTGGCAGGCAGACTCTAAGCCACTGCGCCACCAGGGAAGTCCAAAGTTAACTGATTTTTAAAATGTCAAGTATTCTTTCAAACAAAAAGGTACAAGTTATGTTTCAAAGAAATATAGCAAAGCAGTTTTAGAAACAATATCAGGTTCCTTGTGCTGCCAGAAAAAAAAGCTGTGTGTGGAGTGGTGGGAGACTTACTTTCTGCAGTTTGCATTATTATTTCATCAAGCTCTTTTTCCAGTTTCTCATAAATGTCTAGCCTTGCCTGATGTTCAGAGTTCTGTGCTTGAAGTTCGGTAATACGTTTCTCAGAAGAGGCTTGGAGACTATAAAATTCTTTAGTTAAAACCTAAGAGTGGAAGAAAAAAAATTGCAAAAGCAGAATTAAATAGGTTGACAGTTAAGACAAAAAAACATGATACAAAATTTTTTTTTAATGATTTAGACATGAAGTAGCTCAATTAAGATGACTGAGGAGGTAAAATACATCTATTTCTGAGGAAAATAATTTGTTTTTAAATGAAAATTATGAAGCACTTTACTATATAAATTGAAAAAAAATTAAAACTTAGTAATAGTTATAGGAGTAACATTAGCATTTGCTTATTAGAATTCAAAAAATTCAATAATGCTATACTCCTCACCTAGGTGGAGGTTATTTATCTGGTGACCACAGGTATTTGAGAAAGGCTTACAGAGCTGTATGTAAAAATTATACACTCATAATGAGTCCTTCAGTTTTTCACCAGAGATTTTTTTATTTAGTCTTTTTTAAAATTTATTTATTTATTTATGTCTGCATTGGGTCTTCGCTGCTGTGTGCAGGCTTTCTCTAGTTGCAGTGAGTAGGGGCTACTCTTTGCTGCGGTGCGTGGGCTTCTCATTGCAGTGGCTTCTCTTGTTGCGCAGCACGGGCTTCAGGTGTGCAGGCTTCAGTAGTTGTGGCACATGGGCTCAGTAGTTGTAGCTTGCAGGCTTTAGAGCGCAGGCTCAGTAGTTGTGGCACACAGGCTTAGTTGCTCCGTGGCATATGGGATCTTCCCGGACCAGGGCTCGAACCTGTGTCCCCTACATTGGCAGGCGGATTCTTAACCACTGCGCCACCAGGGAAGTCCTATTTCATTTACTCTTACCACGGTTTTAATAAGATTTTTGGTTTGCTGAACAATCAAAAATTCAAAGCAGCAAATCAAAATGTAAATGTGAAGTGCTACTCGGGGCAGTATCAGAAAATGCCTTTGTATAGAAAGAAAGGCTAAAAAATTATTAAAAGGAGATATAAAAGATATGGAAATTGGAGTTATTTTATGTAAGAACAAAAAATCCTGAATTTTCCTATGGTAACTCATTGAAGGAATCACTAGGGTGACAATAATGAATTCACTAAAACAGGAGACATTTCTAGTAACAAAGGAATGTTCTAATGCTTACATTAAATTCCAACTACCTAGAAAGTTTACTTACTAGTACAGACTAAATTATGGGGTGGTATTACACTTACTTCCTAACACAACATAAGTAATGTAGTATTTCCTGAGAAGCAATAGAATATTATGGTAAGAATATGGTTTGGAGACAGAAAGATTTGGATTTCAGTCCTGGCTTTGACACTTATTCGTTGTGATCTTAGGTAATTATTCTTTCTATGCCTACCTCAGAATATTGCTGGAAGGATTACGTGAGAGGATAAACTCACAGTGCTTAGCAGAGTATCTAGAACATAGTAAAAGTGCTGAAAAATATTATTACCACTGCAGGAAATACAACTACGAGAACTTTGTATTAAATGGTTTGTAAAAATGAGATGTACTGCTTTAATTATTCTGAATTCTCTATTAGTTTCTCTAATGACAAAGTTCACCTTAACAAATGTATGTGACTGTGTGCTTCCTGTGATGGCGAGAAAGAAGATGTGGAAGATCTATTTACAGTTTTTAACAAGCAGAAATTTTGATTTAATATTCTTTTAATCTATTCCATCTCATTTTCTTCCATTATTTCCATCAGAACCCCCCCCCCAGGGACTTCCCTGGTGGTCCAGTGGTTAAGACTCCGCGCTCCCAGTGCAGAGGGCATGGGTTTGATCCCTGGCTGGGGAACTAAGCTCCCGCATGCTGCACGGTGCGGCCAAACAAATAAATTAATTAATTAGCCCCCCTCCCCCAACCCTAGATAAACTAAACATCATTCCCACCCTCCAAATACATTCCTTTGAAGGACGGAGAAGAATAACATGGGAATAATATCTGTAGTATGATTTCTAGTGTCCCTGATTGGGTCAGAAAAAGAAAATTCCTGTTTTAGCATTATTCATTCTTGCTGGCTGGAAATGTTTTCTAGAGAATTTACTATAACAAAATCACCGCACAGTTTAACAATCTGGAGCTTTCAGAGAGTTCACTACATTGCGATGTAATTCATTAAGAATCTGGTGGCTGAATTCCTTGTCAAAGAGAGGATCAGTAAGGATAGTGTTAAATGGCAATTCCTACAGCACAGCTGATACCTTTCATCTGTACCCCACTTTCTCCAATAAAAATACCACACAAAGAAAAAATGCAGAAATGGATATATAAAGAGATAAAGAATCAAAATGCTGAATATGAGATATTTCATAAAATACTATTTTAAGAAGAGACTTAAAAGTAGTATTAAATTGAGAGGTACAATTTAAAATTCTCATTCATAACATAGAGAAGAGATTGTAAGAAACTTTTGATTTGGGGTACCTTCCAATACCTCAGTACCCCATGGTAGTGAATTCTCCTTTATTATGGATTTGTCTGAGTGGCTGCTATGAAAAAATTTATTACAGTTTCTGAAAAGCCATTGAAGAACTTGATTCTTGGACGCATGGAAGGCTATTACATTAAAGATTCTTTAGGAAAAAACCAGTCTATGAACATTTGAGTTTAAACACGAATGCAAAAAATAGGTCAACTGCTTTTAGGAATCCATTAAATATCAAGCTTTCACAGTGGATATCTCCTTCCTTTTAATAATAATACAAAATTATATAAAATTATATAGATAACACATATATAAAATGAATGAAAATACAAAATTACAGGTCAATAATAGCTTTAAAAAGAGACAAAAATATAAAGCCAGGGTTTTGAAAGCTTTTGGCAATTGATAATTATGAAAAAATAAAACAAATTGTTCCCAAGTTATAAATCAATGAGAATACTGGGTAAAAGCCACTGAAAAGTACATAATTATAGCAATCTTTACCTTTCACAAAATTATTTCTCTCTAAATTCATTATAAATAACAATTGTCTAAGACACCTTCTGCTATCAGAAAAATGGATTCAAACAATGGTATTATATTAGCTTTCATCAAACCAGTCACTCACTCATTAAATACTTATTGAACATCCACCATGAGTGAGGCACTGTGTTAGGCACTGGTGACACAGTAATAAATAAACAGTCCTTGTCCTCTCAAAGATCCTAGTTTAACAAAGGAGGAGCTGTAAAGAAACTCCCCTACAGCTTCAGTTTCATCAACCAAAGTTTTTAGAATCATGACATTTTTTACAAAGTTGTTTTTCCATGCAAGACCTTTACACAAGAGAACACAATAATTATTAGTCACCTGCATCCACAGACCAAGTGGGTAGGTCTATGGGAAAGTGGTTTTCATACCACTTTCCCATAGACCTCCTAAAGTCACAACCTTTAGGAGGTCGTGAAATCAATTTAAACTCCAACCAGCTAAAAATAATAGAATAGAATGGTTTAGAAAATATCAGCACTGTATGTTGTGAAGTACTGGTTAGTGAAATGTTTGTTTCAGTACAGAGAGAGGGGAAGTGCTTCTTTACCTTCCTAAATATAACCCTACCCCCCCATCCCAAACACATCCTTAAGCACAGCCATCCAATGTGAAAAGAAAAAGAAATTGCTAGGAATTATAAAATTAAACCATGAAAAATTTGCAAAAGATGAATACAAAATCAGAGCTAATCTAATCTAAAATGTGTGGGAGAGTCGGCAGTAGCAGATTATGACTGCAGCAATTTCCCAAAGAAGGTACCTGAAGAAGTTTTAAATGCTGAATACTGCTTTGTTTAGAAGTAAGCATCATCTACAATTTTTACTTACGTTTCTTTAAATATGTATTATTTAACGTTGTTTTTATGTTTTTCCCTAAGGCTTTATTTTCTGAGACTCTACTTTGTTAGTTTTACTTAACAGAGTACTCTTCAGAAATGAAATTTCTGAAAGATTGTTGTAATGAATACTTACATCATTAGCTAATTAATCATGTTAATGATATTTCCATGTTTTTAATTTTTAATGGTATTACTGCACCTTTCATTCCATGTTTTTAATTTTTATTATTATTTTATTTATTTATTTTTTAAAGATTTTATTGATGTGGACCATTTTTAAAGTCTTTATTGAATTTGTTACAATATTGCTTCTGTTTTACATTTTGGTTTTTTGGCCATGAGGCATGTGGGATCTTAGCTCCCCAACCAGGGATGGAACCCACACCCAGTGCATTGGACGGCGAAGTCTTAACCACTGGAACGCCAGGGAAGTCCCATGCTTAGTTGCAGCATGTGGGATCTTCAGTTGCGGCATGTGAGACCTAGTTCCCTGACCAGGGATCGAACCTGGGTCCCCTGCATTGGAAGCATGGAGTCTTAGCATGGACCACGAGGGAAGTCCCTCATTCAGTGTTTTTATTTTTTTAATTTTTTATTATTTTTTAAATAAATTTATTTATTTTTGGCTGAATTGGGTCTTCATTGCTGCACGCGGGCTTTATCTAGTTGCAGGGAGCGAGGCTACTCTTCATTGCTGTGCACAAGCTTCTCATTGCAGTGGCTTCTCTTGTTGTGGAGCACGGGCTCTAGGCATGCGGGCTTCAGTAGTTGTGGCACATGGACTCAGTAGTTGTGGCTCGCGGGCTTAGTTGCTCCGCGGCATGTGGGATCTTCCTGGACCAGGGCTCGAACCCTGTCCCCTGCATTGGCAGGCGGATTCTTAACCACTGTGCCACCAGGGAAGCCCTCCATTTTCTAGCTAAATGAGATTTCCGATTTAAGGGTACTTTTGCCAGTATTTTAAAAACAACAAACAGACCTATGGCAATTTGCATTCCTTTTCTTAGAAATGGTCCATTCCTTCTTTCCACCTCTTTATCTAAAAGAGGAAGATATGTCCTCTTGATAAGAGATCTTTAAAACTTAAGGACACAGGCTTGTTCTCATACATAACACAAATATTATTTATAAAGCTCAATATGATACAGACCTTGTACTTATGGAGCTTACAGTCTGTGTTAATTTTAAAAGAAAAGCTTGTATATGTACCTCCAATTTTTTCTGATATTTTTCACATTCCAACTGACATTGTGTGAGATTTCTTGCAGTCTCCTCTTGTAGAAGCTGAGCACGCTCACTTTCAAAAGATTTTATTTTACTTTGATGGAGAAATTCTGTTACTTTGCTTTCTGTACTAAGTTGTAGTTCTCTGTACCTGAAAGAAGAAAATTATGAAACACTAAAGAAATCTCGATTTATAGAAACATAAACATTACTTCTACTTTTTTCTATATCCCCATATTATTATGCAGTTAATAACTTTTATTTATTCAGCAAAGCTTTTGTAAATAATTTAGAGAGGCATATGTATGGAAATATGCTAAGTCCAGGAAACAAAACATACCAATTAAACTTCCTCTACTCCTCCTTTCTTTTCATTCCTTCCATCCAAAAATAGTTATTACCTCTCTATGATTATTATTATTTTGTAAGACATTTAAAATAAAAAATGGTAAGAACAAATTTCAGTTATATTGCTTAAAATGACTTAATTTCCATATATTTCATAGGCCTTCTTAAATCTATAGCATTGTTTCCAAACTTGCTATTTCATCTAAGTCTAAATAATATCAGATGGAGAAGAATGGCGTGAAATATGCACATTAACCTGCATCTTCTTGAGATATTTGTAAAATAAATTTTTAAGTTAGTAAATATATATATCTGAATATTACAAGAAAACACAATGTACAAAGTACAAAGATAAATATAAAACGATAAGCAGTCTATTACAACACAGATAAGAAACATTCTCTTCATTCCATAGGTATAGCTAGTAATGAAAACATTTCCATTTAACATATAAATCACTGCATATTATAGATTTGAAAATGCTTCAAGTTGACTGTGTTCTAACAGAAAGCAAACAAAGACATATTACACCTTTTCAGGGAGCTATTATGAACCCAGTATAATGCTAGATGTTCCTAAAATTCATTTTTTCAAATATTTATTGAGCTAGACACCATGCCAGGCAAATATGTATACAATGGAAGACAAAATAGGTTTTCTTTTTTTTCTTCCCCCTTAAAGAACTTAGTTTTCGGGAGTTCCCTGGTGGTCTAGTGGTTAGGATTGGCGCTTTCAATGCTGTGGCCCAGGGTTCAGTCCCTGTTCCAGGAACTGAGACCCTGGTTGGGGAACTGAGATTCCACAAGCTGCGTGGCGTGGCAAAAAAAAAAAAAAAAAAAAGAACTTAGTTTTCTGGGGAAGAGAGGAAAATATACATGAAAATTCAATAGAATATGGTAAGTGCTCCAATAAGGTAATCCCTAGGTTCGATGGGAACCTATAGGAAGAAGATTTAACTCAGTTTGTGCAGGTGTGTGTTTGTGTGTGCGCAGCAGGCAGAGGTACAGGGTGGAAAGTGCTCTCGGAAGTAGAAACAAGAGTATGTGCAGGGCGGGAAGCAGAGAGCATAGTCTGTTTTATTCACAGTATTTCATTTAATCCTTACAAGAGCTCTATTAGGTATTTTGCAGATGAAAAACCAGAGGTTCAGAGATTAATTTCTTTAAACAGGAAGAAGGTGCTGGTAAATTTCAGGTGGGGTCTCAAATTCAGCTATGTTTGAGTCTACAGGAATGATCTTTCCACTATTACACAGTACTCTTAACTGACATTTCTGAGTTCAGATAAACTTTCAAATGTGTTTTAAAGGTCATTTCACTCTTGTAAGTGACAATAACATTCAAAGTATAACCAAAGAAAATAGGCATTTAGATACTTGCTACAGGCTACTTCACTCTTGGTACTCTTATCTTTAGTAAAAGCATCTCACAATCAGATTGGTGGAAGTTCCATTCAAGCATATTGCTACACATTATTTAATTCATACCAAGGCTTTAAGGTGAATGCAGCTTGTGTCTTTAACTTTCTGGAAAGTCCAGGCATTAATTTTATGTATGTATAAAAGAACAGCTAGGTCATATGGTCACTCCAGTTTTAACTTTTTGAGGAACTGCCAAACTGCTTTTCAATGTGGTTGCACATTCTCACCAGCAATTACGAGGGTGGTAAGTTCTCCACATCCTTATCAAAACTTACCATTGTCTCTTTGATGATAGCCATCATCATGGATGTGAAGTAGTAAAAAATTATTTTACTCAAAAATTTATTAATTCAACAATTTACTGACATGAAAATGCCCTGTACTCCCTGGGGTAAATTGTCTTATAAATGCATAAAACGTATGTGAAATCCATACCTATTTGTATGTTAAACTGTGAGACACACTAGACTTCATTACTGAAATATATTCTTGATAAGTCATTTGGAATGTGCTATTTATCTTTAAGAGAATTTGTTTCGAAAAAATTAAACAGCAAAGTTTGCCTTTTTCTGGATTCAGGACATTGTGGTTAATTCTGAGGTCAATGCTAACTCCAAACAGGAAATGAAAGACTTAGCTTTTAGATTTCACCTGCTCTTCTTATTCATTATATGACACTTGAAAGTTACTTTTAGCACTATTATTCTTCCCCTATACTGAACAGTTAAGTAGTTATCTCCTAGAAATTTGAGGATACTAAGTTTAATAAAATGACACTTCTATGAACCAAATGATAATTCTTTTTAACCAGATATACTTATTTTTTATTTTTTTATACAGCAGGTTCTTATTAGTTATCTGTTTTATACATATTAGTGTATATACGTCAATCCCAATCTCCCAATTCATACCACCACCACCAGCCCCCTCAAATGATAATTCTAAAGGACTCATCTATTCTCATGTTGCTTACACAGTAAAAGAAAATCTGCCTCAAATCATTCTGACTTTGTAATAATAGTTACTCTTCTAATTTAAGTTGAACTGTGAAAATGCTGAGGAAACATTAGAGCTGCAAAAGCAGTTCCAGAGTGAGGAACAGATGACAAGGGTACAGGCTGACAATCTCAGGTAACTTCCTCCTACTTGTTTTGCTAATATAACCTGTCACATTTTACTTTGTTGACTCAGACTTCTCATTTTATCCTCTTAATGTGAACATCTTATTTGAACTAAGTCAATATTATTCACATGTTAACAAGTTTATGTTTGATATCCTAACTCAGCATAGTAACCTTAAGAGGTCACATTTCTTACAAAGTTAAAGTATAATCAGAATCTCCAACTATTGTTAGCCCAGGCCCCCAACGTGACTAGATGAGTCTTTATGCTAGCTGGGTTTTTAGTTTTCATACGACTTTCTCATAAATCACATACTACTTTAAAAATAGTAATATAAGGACCTAGAATGAACTGTTTTTGCTCTCAAGGAATATTCACTGCAACGTACTTTGGGCTGGACAAACAAGGAGAATTTTACCTGTTAAAAGGTGAAAATCAGCAATTAGACAGGAAACAACAGAGATGTTAACCCATGAGAAATGCTCCCAGCTATGGTGAATTAAACTCCAAGCAGCATGGCATATTCTGCAGTGCTGAGAAATAACTGCAGGAGAGACATCAACATGGAATTCTGCTCTCAGAAATGGGAGAGCTCACTTGAACAAAAGCACCAGATAAAACACTAAATAACAACAGGTTTTCATAACAATATTTACATCAGCAGTCTTTACATATATATGATGGTGAAAAGTTTGCTCATTACACTCTGATGTACTAAGCCAAGCAATGCTTGTTTATTTCAATCTCTATCAACAAGATTATCACTGGTACGAAAGTCAAAGACTCCTATAATTATTCATTGTAGTTTTTATTGCAATGAGAAACAACAACTGATCTTTGAATTTTATCCACAAAATGTTCATTGCTTCTCCAATATTAAAACTGGATATGGGACTTCCCTGGCAGTCCAGTGGTTAAGACTCCACGCTTCCGCTGTAGGGGTCACGGGTTCGATCCCTGGTCGGGAAACTAAGATCCTGCATCCTGCATGCCACGTGGCATGGCCAAAATAAATAAATAAAATTAAAAAAAATAAATAAAAAATAAAACTGGATATTTATTCTGAACCCAATTATCTAATCTCATTTCCTAGATAGACTTTCTAAGGCAAAATACCCCCAAATATTATATTAAGTGGTAAGGTTCCTATAATCACCAGGACCAGTAAGTGGTCCTTCCATTAAGATTTTCTGAGAGCTGGTCCAGTTTAGAAGTAAGGCAGTGAAGCAGCTGAGGCAAGGCATTTGTCTATGTTCAGGAGAACAACTATAGATAGATAAAGAGCACAGGAAATAACACCTGCACAAGGAAGATTGGTAAAAGAAGTTAAGCAAAGTAACAGTATTTCCAGTTACAGGAAAGGGTTCAGGGAAGGATTTTAGTAGTTAGGCATCAGTTAGATTAAGTTTTGAAAGGGACTCTGGGTCAATATAGAGAAAATACTTGTGGGGTTTAAAAGAATACATGGGAGCAGGTAGTCATGGCTGGACCATTAAATCCTTTGTGTTGGGGAGGATAATTTAATTCTAAATTCGACAAGAAACTGGGGCATATGCTGCTGATAAACTTTCTACGTGTATAAAAAAAAAAAAAATTGCTTTTAAACAGAGATGGGCCTGAGACTCCAGATAGGGATTTCGCTGTGGGAAACTGGAGTTGACAAGGGCAGAAGCTGCCATCTCTAAGCAACTGAGAATCAATCTTGCTTACCTGAGTGGGAAACTGATCCCATTTTATTCTGGTGTTTCGGGCTCCTCTTTCTCCTTATTTTATTTTTTGCGGTACACGGGCCTTTCACTGTTGTGGCCTCTCCCGTTGTGGAGCACAGGCTCCGGACACGCAGGCTCAGTGGCCATGGCTCAGGGGCCCAGCCGCTCTGCGGCATGTGGGATCCTCCCGGACCGGGGCACGAACCCGTGTCCCCTGCATCGGCAGGCGGACTCTCAACCATTGCGCCACCAGGGAAGCCCTCTCCTTATTCTTTTAATAAGGCTTCATTGAGTTGATGTTCAATTCCCTTTGAATTATTCATTTTAACTAATCCACACCTTAACTACTCTTTGTCCCTGCTATTTGTAATTCTCAGGGGATAAAACTGATCTCCATTCTATTTACAGAGAATTTCGGTTGTGTTTCTGAACCTGTTCTACATGTATTACTAGCCCTGTACCACATGCTGAAAATGCTTCTGGATGAGTCACTGAGTGATAGTTAACCAAACCCTAAGATCCACTTATGCCAATTAAGAATTGAGGGGGGAA